TTAAGTGGTGAACACAGTGCTCAGAACGTAGGGACTAGGGAGTTACGGAGGTAGAGTGGAAAGCACACAGATTTCATTGACTTCAGTCTGAACTCAAAGCCAACTTTCAGAAGCACTTACAGATGTTTGTTTGTTATATGTTACAGAAGTGTCGCTGGGTTGTTTGCGCTCTGCGCCCTGACCTGTCAGCTCTGCACTCATCAATTTGTCTAGCTTGGATTAGTATTGCTAGCTCTGCATTATAACGCCAGGTCTAGCATGGCTGGCAGATGTGAATGCCTCTCGCACAGGAAGCGCTCCTACAGCCAGCAGTGCTGTTTTTTCACTGCAGTCCAGTTCTAGATCCCATCAGGCTCCCTCTGTTCTTATGGTGCTATGCCCAAAGTGCTAAACCCTCTGGAAGCCAGAAACTTGGGAAGCTATGCTGAAGTTGTCCAACTGCTTGACCCAGTGGTTGCTCTGTTCAGTACTGTTTGGATGTCTCCTCATAGCAATGCCTGGTGTCTAGGGTCTGAGGATGCAGTGGTGAAACTGTAGAACTGCTGGTGCACAGCTGGTCTGGCTTCAGCCCAGGTCCCCAGTGAAAAGTGGCGTATTCCTGGCTCAGAGAAGGTGCAGGGAGTGGTACACCTGTCTGCTCCACTCACAGCTAGTAACCCTGCCTGGAGCCTGGTTACCTGCTGTCGGACAGACAAACCATGGATAGCTGAGAGGTGGATGGAGTTCAGCAGTAAAGGGCGAAGCTTACAAACCTGCCTACTTCTCCCCTCTGGTTAATCCTAATAAGATATCAGGTCATGCCTGTGAAGGCCAGTAGATAGGACTCTGCTGATTTTGTTCAGGGATTGAATTTCACTGCTAAATACACACGTATAAAATGTGCAATGATTTGATCAAACAGTTCCTCCTTTGTTTTTCAGCCAAGCCTTCAGGGCAGGTTTCAGGCTTTGTATTATAACAGCTGTTGATAAGGTGAGTGCTGCAAACAGTTCAGGTCAACATGATGAACTACTGTGGGAAAAGGCAGCCAATTTTCTGAGTAGTGTAAATCCATTCAAAATATCTTAGATAGCAGAGGAAACAAATGCACAGTTTAAAATCATATCCTGAACTTATTTGCAAATATTGATAAAATAACAAGCAGGAGAATTTTCTGAATTCCCTGCCTTCATTGACTTCACCTTAAGTATTCTTCAACTAATTAGAGCTTTCATTCATATGTAGGATTTGTTTCTTCAACTGAAGAAGCAAGTGCTGATTTCTACAGCCAGATACCTTTTGATCTAAAACATGAAATGGTAGTGATGAATGAAGTTTTCCCTCCTTTTTTTTTAATATTTGTCTTCTGGACCTCTCCACCAATTACAGGGAGAACAAGCTACAACCTGCCTGTTATCACACCATCTTGGCAACTAGAATACTGTGAGCAAATGAGGGTTTTTTTTATCTCTACCTTTTATGCTGGTGAGCAGTGCTATTTCGAGTTGAGTGGGTGAATTTAACCTGACGCAGTAAATAGGTTTTGAGAGCATCTTCATTCCCAAAGGCTGCTAGAGAATATACCCATCGGAGTTAGAAAAGTCCCTGACGCCATTGGACTCTCCATCATTTAGTTAATGAAGATGGGTATTGAACAGTCACTGAAGCTGAAAAACGCTGACAGTTTTATTGATCAAATAAGAGACAAAATGAACAAGAAACCGGTCTTGTACCTGTCATTGTGAGGTCTGTTAGGACTATTGCATCCATTAAAATGACTGGCAATAAAGCCTTCTCTACGCACAAGAGTTAAGTGCAAGGTAGCTACAATATTTTCTGATTTTCTTTTTGAGACACTGCTTAAACCTTTTTCCCCAAAATGTGATTTTCGTGATCAAATTGAAATATATTTCAGAAAAAAAAGCCAAGATTTCATTATTTGATTTTTTTTTTAATGAGTAAGAGATGAGAAAAAACAGAAACTGACATAAGATCTGTTGAAGAAGGAGCGCAAGTTATTCTGAGGAAAACATGATTGCAGCTTCCCTAGGATCTCCGTTTTCTTCTTCCAAAGAACATCTCTTTCTCCTGCTGATACTGGAAACCGTATGCTACAGTTGTTTTCGATTGGGAGTCATATGTTGCAGAGGTTTCTGAAGTGCATGCATTCGTACACTGACATTGTTCCACGTAGATGTAGTTATAACTTATGCTTGTTCCATTTTGGCAAGTCAGGGTCACCTCTCTTGTTTGGCTGCTGTACTCCCGACAGCAGCTACACTCATATTGCATCTGGTTTGCTTCAAGAGAATACCTATGTTCCAGCAGGAAAAGAAAATATCTTCTGATTATAAACTGTCACAGAGAAACCCTCCAGTGATGTTTGTTTTGGGGTTTATTGGGAGTTTTGGGAGTGGGTTTTTTTTATCCTCTCTTCATCCCTCCCACTCACACACTTATGAATGTGATTTTAATTCCATGTCTCTTCAATAGTGAAACTGCTCTTGCTTCCATTGAGTCTGATTCCGCTCAATGGGATTATATAAATGTATTAACTTTATTGCTATTGTGCAATCACAGAATCATTCAGGTTGGAAAAAGACCCTTAAGATCATTGAGTCCAACAATAAACCTAGCACTGCTAAGTCCACCACTGAGCTATATCCCTATGTGCCATGTCTACACATCTTTTAAATACTTCCAGGGGTGGTGGCTCAAGCACTTCCCTGGGCAGCCTGTTCCAATGCTTGACAACCCTTTCAGTGAAGACATTTTTCCTAATATCCAATCTAAACCTCCCCTGATGCAGCCTGAAGTTGTTTCCTCGTGTCCTGTCACTTGTTGCTTGGGAGAAGAGAGCAACACCTGCCTCACTACAGCCTCCTTTCAGGTAGTTGTAGAGAGTGATATGGTCTCCCCTCAGCCGCCTCCTCTCCAGACTAAACAGCCCCAGCTTCCCTCAGCTGCTCCTCAGAAGACTTGTTCTCTAGACCCTTCACCAGCTTTGTTGCTCTGCTTTGGACACTCTCCAGCAACTCAATGTATTTCTTGTAGTGAGGGGCCCACAGCTGCACACAGTACTCCAGGTGCGACCTCACCAGTGCCGTGTACAGGGGCACGATCACCTCCCTACTCCTGCTGGCCACACTATTCCTGATACAAGCCAGGATGCCGTTTGCCTTCTTTGCCACCTGGGCACACTGCTGGCTCATGTTCAGCCAGCTGTCAACCAACACCCCAAGGTCCTTTTCTGCTGGGCAGCTTTCCAGACACTCCTCCCCAAGCCTGCAGCATTGCGTGGGGTTGTTGTGACCCAAGTGTAGGACCCAGCACTTGTCCTTGTTGAGCCTCATACAACTGACCTTGGCCCATCAAGTCAGTCTGTCCAGATCCCTCTGCAGCGCCTTCCTACCCTCAAGCAGATCGACACTCCCACCCAACTCGGTGTCATCTGCAAACTTACTGAGGGAGCACTCAATCCGCTCATCCAGATCATTGATGAAGATACTAAACAGATCTGGCCCCAGTACTGCACCCTGGGGAATATCACTTGTGACTGGAAGCGATCTGGATTTAACTCCATTAATGCCACAACTCTTTGGGCCAGCCATCCAGACAGTTTTTTACCCAGCTAAGAGTAAGCCCATCCAAGCCATGAGCAATGAGTTTCTCCAGGAGGATGCTGTGGGAAACAGTGTCAAAGGCTTTACTAAAGTCAAGGTAAACAACATCCACAGCCTTTACCTCATCCATTAAACAGGTCGCCTTGTCATAGAAGCTTAGTCAAGCAGGACCTGCCTTTCATAAATCCATGTTGACTGGGCCTGATCACCTGGTTGTCCGGTACATGCTGTGTGATGGCATTCACGATGATCTACTCCATAACCTTCCCAAGGACCGAGATCAGTCTGACAGGCCTGTAGATCCCTGGATCCTCCTCCCAGCCCTTCTTGTAGATGGGCGTCACATTTGTTAACCTCCAGTCAACTGGTACCTCCCCTGTTAGCCAGGACTGCTGACAAATGATTGAAAGTGGCTTGGTGAGCACTTCTGCCAGCTCCCTCAGTACTCTTAGGTGATTGATTAACTTGAGAGACCAGTGTAAAGGAAGCCATAGAGATGCTAAATTACATTTTTGGAACTTACACTGAGGAGCCAGGACAAGTTCCTTCACAATATGCCAGCTCAACAGGTTCAGAAGATTCACAGTCATCATGGCTGATCACAGTTTTTTTGCTGTACGGTTTGCAGTTTGTGGCTTCGTAAAAAGAGGGGAGAAAGAACACATACGTCAAATCTCTAGCTCAGAGCTAACTGAATATTAAAACAGTTTCAAGGTGTATGATGTCTGATTATTGAGGATCTGCAGTATGTGACAGTGTGTGGGGGATACTGTGTAATGTATCTGGAGTTTTCAGGTTATTCTTTGATCTCAGTTGTACAGTGTCTTTGGAAGATAATGTGGAGGCTTAAGCATTGGTAGTTTGACTTGTGGTGTTCAGTATCAGTAAAAGAAATTTGCTTCTTCTTTTTGAATTGATAGTGAAACACAGGGTCTTGATAAATAGAATAAGTGAAAACTGGGGGAGTGAAGAATCCTTGCACCACTCAAAGATAGAAGTTAATTACAGGGCTCTTCAAGCAAAAAGCATGAACACAGCATTACTTACGTTTACATATTTTGCAGCATCCATCGTGAGTAGTTTCTGCTTCATCCTTGCAAAGTAAAGCAGGAGGATTTGTATTAATGTGCAGATGACAGCCATGAGTATCAATATGAATTAACATTACTGATACTGGGCAGAAGGCTCCTCTGTGAGGAACACTGAATGAAACCGTGGGTGTCTTACTGTCCCCACAATAGAAGTCTTGAATCCTTGTAGCCTCATGTAAAAACACTGGGCTTTTCTTATTACTGATGTTACAGCAAGATTAATTCCATTCTTAAGATATTCTTGCAACTTTAGTGAAAATGATTTGTCGTATTCTTCCTTGCCCTGCCTTGTTCATTTAAAGTGCATTCAGCTGGTGAAGAATTGATTAAAACTTACAGGATCGCACTCTCCTGGGTCGTACTCGGGGCATACTTTTTTAGTTTGGACTGCAACAAATTGATCTTCAATTTTTTCACATTTGTAATGGCTGCAATTATCAAGTGGCAGGATCTCATCAACCTAAGATTTTATAAGAAAAGAAAACAATTACTTTTTTAATTGCAATGACGTATAGTATGATTACTTCGAAAATGCCTGAGCTAATTAAGTTGTCACACCTCAAAGATTCTCAGATGCTTCTAAACTACTTTCAAGTGGCAAAAGCAAAATTTTGCACACTGTGGCTAACTTGAAAGTTTAAATCCTGAATCTGAACACTCACACCACAAATTAGAAACCGTTGCCCAGTTAACCACACACATCAAGAGTTTATTATTCCAAGTAAGCATTCAATTCAGAATGCTACTGTGTTGTTTTTAGAGTAATTTCAGTGTTAATTTCATTTTTACGAGTAAGGCATGTGAGTTTACTCTTAGCTGTTCTAGCCTGTGTTGGTAATAAAGAAATCTGAAAATGAAAGGAATACTTACATTGAGCACGTGAACAGTGTTGTTACTTAATTTGATTGTGCAAGATACTTCAATACACTTCCCACAGCACTCTCCATCCTCTGTCATATATTGATAACCCTACTCACAAGGAGATGAAAGAGAAAGTAGGTTGAGTTGGTGATGGAGAACTCTGGTAGCTGAGAGCTGAGTGGGCAGCCTATAGAATCTGAACTCACCAGTGGGCAAGATGTTTCACATTGAACTGCTTCGCAATGCACAGTATTTGCATGAGTCACTGGATCTGTCTCAGAACTGCAGGTACAGTTCTGACATGAATTGGTTACTGTTGACATTCCAACCTGAAAGATATAAAAAAAAACCCCAACCAAACCCAAATGGCAACAGTTTCTGTATAATGTATAGGCAGAGTTGAAAGCATTGCAGAGAACCATTATGGTTGCTGAAATGCATGTGCAACTGAGTTCTTCAGCTCTCTTTGAATATAAAGTTGGCTTTATGCCTTGCCAGAAAGCACATGTTAGGAGGAAACTAAATGAAGCAATAGAAAAGAGAAAAGTAAATTAAAAAAATGTAGATAAGACTAGTTTGTAATGCCTCATTGTTTTACCAGCTTTTCAATGCTCCATTTAAGAATTATTTTTCCAGGTAAGTCATATTCAGTGGTTATAAAACAGTTGTAATTTAAAAAAGGAGATTAAAATAACTGGATACATATGCAGATGCATAAGCAGAGATACAAATTTACACATGGATTTTAGTCTTTTGGAAATATACCCCCAAAAGGCTCCAGTGCTAATGTTTAAATGTTGACTAGATGACCAAAGTACCAATGTTGGCAAAAGATTTAGGTATCAATTAAAGCAAAAATCCTAGCTTTATTTTTGAAGGTTCTCTGGTCTCATTTCAGAAAGTAGTTGAGTTTGGGCTACTGATCAGCTCGTTTGGAAAATTTGTTAATTCCAGAAGTGGGAGAGAGTTTAAAAAGAAAGTACATCACTAAAAATGGTACACTTTTCTTTTATGCTACATGTTCTATTCTTCCGTGACAATTTTTTTTTTTGACATTAGAAAAAACCCCACATTTCAGTTAAAAGCCAGAGATAAAAAAACATGTACTGGGAAAAACACTTTCTCAAAAGCTAATTTTGGTAGAAAGGGCGTACGTTTCACTTCCAGCAATATACCACTAGAGGTATAACATTCTTACCATGTATATGGTACCGTTAATCACACAGATGCCAGGAATTTGTTCTGAAAAACAAAACCAAAAAAACCCTGAGTGAACTCAAACTGTGAGACTCCCTGAGAAGTCAAGCTTAGACCTCATGATGAGTATAGCTGGAAATTTAAGTGAAGTTTCATCTTTGAAATATAGCTAGAAGAGTTGAGGATGAATGTCTTCAAACTTGAGCTATTCAAGTAAAATCCCTTTTTTGCCCTCTTGATATCAGGTTCACTTCAGATTAAATTAGTTGTTCCCTCTTTGAGCCCTAGAAGTCCAGTAACCTTCAAAGATGCCTTTGTGATTGATTCTTTATGACCTCTCAGATCATGGTTTGGATGGAAGATTGACTCTGAGCTGAGAAAAGGTATTCTTACCATGGTAATATAAATAATTTGACAACATGGCAGAGATCATTTGTGTCTTTCACACAACTACTTCAAACTTGGCTGTTCCTTTGTTCTGACCTTCCTGTTTTGGGCTTAATTTATGGCTGCTTTTTTCTTTTTATAATTTGTATAAGTATATATGTATAAAAATACATGTATATAAAAATTATGTATATAAAGAAACATATATAACTTGGATTTTTAAATTTTCATGGGCATTCAACTACAGTGTAGGTTTCATTATTATTTTTCATACATTGACAATGTAGTTACTGATTATAATTCACTTTGTATTATTGCTTCGTGTTACTTGCTTTTGTAGTTAACTGCAAAGCTTTCTGCTGGCTTATTCTTGTGCTTATGCATCTTAGTTTAGCTACAGTTAGGCTAAGGTTAATGTGCTGCAATGTTACATTAATAACATTGAATAAAATGCATTAATAACCTTTATAATTACAGATACATAGATAGCTGAGCTACATAGACCACCTGAAGGTTCAAAGCATTATCCTGCTCTCCCACCCATTCCAATTCTCTCAGCAAGCTTCACTGAAAATAACATTTTGTTTTTAAACAAACTTCTAATGCATATTTAGCAAAAAGTCGATGCATGTTCACTGAGCCAGAACAATTTAAGGAAGGTTTTGCTGTTATTGTGATACATGAAGAACTTGCTTAGATATTAACAGAAGGGCAAATGTAATTCACCAGGATGTGTAGCCTGGTAATTATATATGTATTTTTAATACTTACTGCATTCAAGTTCAGGACAACATTGGTCTTTTGATGTTAGTACAGGCATGGAAACAAATCCTAGGTCACAAACTGGTGTCTGAACTGTTTGGCATAACAGCGGCTGGCATTGTACAGTAGCATTGAGGGGATCACAGACACACTTCTGGCATTCACTTATCCAGTTGTCTCCAGGCTGAAAATACGTAAATGATTTATTCTTAAGTGCTCTCTCACCCTAGCTGTTCTGTTTCAACTTGAGATATACTCTCAAAATTGGTAGACAGTTCAGATAAGAGTTTTCTTAGCACTTGATTTCAGGCCTTAAGAGCAGGCAAGCTAAGAACAATCACGGAATTTTCTTCTGTGTAGAAAGAATGATGTTTTAACACTTTCATAGCTGGTCTACTTATTCCTATGTCATTTAAATGTCTTTTCTTAAAAGAAAACGTCTCTACCATGGTATTACTGACCTTTTCTGTCTCCAGATTACTTAAAAGCCTGGTAATGCCAGGTTGAAGAATTCTATGCTGTCAGGTCATTGGTAACATGGCAAACTTTGTTATTGAAATATATACAGGTTGGCTGGAAATGGCTATTACAGGACAGAAATTTGGCTCATTTTACAGTGGTTGTATATTAGAAAACAATGAGGGGAACCACCTTTCGTGGAGGATTGACATCAGTACAGTTTCTTTCTACTGAAGTAGTGAGGGATGTTGCTGTGGTTGATGAGACAGAAGCAGATACATGTTCTGTGGATGTTGTGGCTTCCCAGGTGACTGAAGTAAAAGGAGTTGTCGAAGGACATGGCCCCTGGAACGGGTCAATTTCGCATTCCTTACTGCAAAGTGCATAAAAACTACAGCCGGCTCTGTCTGTTCTGTTGTATACCACTTCCCCTGTAGAAGAAAATTGGAGGAGAAATTAAAAGACTGATGAAAATACTTAGGCGAAAAAACTCAAGAAAGTATTGTGAAAATATAAAATGTATTCGTGTATAAAAAGTTCTCTCTTTGGATCAGTGTGAATTGTTATCTTTAATTGAATAGAGTATCAAGGGTTTATATTGCTTATGAAAATTTTTATAACCATAAAATAAGACACTTACCAGGTGAAAAAAAATTACCAAACACGTGGCAAAAACATGGAGTTGTTCTGCTTGATGTAACATATGTACTTGCTTCTGTTGTGACAAGTGTGCTGGGGGAAGAACTGAAGATTGCAGAAGTGCTTGTAGTAATATGACTTGATAATGATGTACCAGTTGTAGCTACTGTTGAGCACAAGACACGCTTTAGTTTGCAGCACAACATTTTGATATCATAATTTTAACATATTGGAGAGGACCGTTCAACATTCTGCAAATCAAGCCAACGATTTTCTTGCATGCATCTATTTGGCCTACTGCTAAGTGCAGGTTGTAGAAATCTTTTAGCTTTATGCTGAGTATTATCTAGAATTTGGCAACTCCTATGACATTCAGCTCTAATGTTTTAAAAAGTTTCAAAGTTGCCAGAGACTCTGTCAAGTTCAGGATAAGTAATATCAAGCTATGGGGTCCACTCACAAGCTTGTCTAACAGATAATAGTACCAGAGGGACAGATAGATAAAAAAGTGGTTTATGTGCTGGAAAACAAAAGGATGATAGAGGAAGAAGTCACAGAAGACAATGATAAAGATGTTGTTCTACTGAAAAAGCTGCTTGTAACCTTTCCAGAAATACATGATGACATACCTGGGACAATTGTAGTAGTGAAACTTCTGGAAAAAACAGTGGTAACAGTACTTCCTCCAGTAGAAGAAACAGATGTTGGAAGATTATCTGTACCACCTACAGTGCTTGTACTTCCTGGTTGGGAGAGAGTGGAGGCAGTAGTGTGTGATGTTGGAGGCTGTGTTGCCACACTAGGGGTGTGCGTTGGAACAGATGTGTCTGTGGTCTTTGTGGTGCTTCCTGCAGTGGTCCTGGAGGTGCTGGCAGTGCTAGAGGGTGAGGTGGGCACTGTTGGTGTGTATGTGGTTGTGGTGGTTGTACCTTCTGATTGAGAGGGAGAGGTCCTGGTGGTGCCAGTCTTGCTGGTGGTCGTGATGATGTTTGTGCCTTGTGTTGTTGGGGCAGTGGTAGTGGGGACAACTGTGGTGCCAGCGGTTGTTGTCATTGTTGATGGTGGGATGGTGGAGGCAGTAGTGGGTGCTGTTGGAGGCTGTGATTCCACACTGTGGGTGTGCGTTGGAGCAGATGTGTCCGTGGTCATTGTGGTGCTTCCTGCAGTGGTCCTTGAGGTGCTGCCAGTGCTAGTTTGTGAGTGGGACACTGTTGGTGTGGGTGTGGTTGTGGTGGTTGTGCCTTCTGATGCACTCATAGAGGTCCTGGTGGTGCCAGTCTTGCTGGTGGTCGTGAGGATACTTGTGCCTTGTGTTGTTTGGGCAGTGGTAGTGGGGACAACCGTGGTGCCAGCGATGGTTGTTGTTGTTGATGGTGGGGTGGTGGAGGCAGTAGTGGGTGATGCTGAAGGCTGTGTTGACACAGTGGGGCTATGTGTTGGAACCGATGTTTCCGTGGTCGTTGTGGTGCTTCCTGCAGTTGTCGTGGAGGTGCTGGCAGTGCTAGTGTGTGAGTGTGACACTGTTGGTGTGGTTGTGGTGGTTGTGCCTTCTGATGGAGGGGGAGACGTCCCGGTGCTGGTGGCCCTGGTGATGGTTGCGATGGTGGTTGTGCCTTGTATTGGTTTTGTGGTGCCAGCAGTGGTTGTCGTTGTTGATGGTGGGGTGGTGGAGGCAGTAGTGGGTGATGTTGGAGACTGTGTTGCCACAGTGGAGTTGTGTGTTGGAGCATATGTGACAGTGGTCACTGTGGTGCTTCCTGCAGTGGTCCTGGAGGTGCTGGCAGTGCTAGTGGGTGAGGTGGGCACTGTTGGTGTGGGTGTGGTTGTGGTGGTTGTGCCTTCTGATGGAGGGGGAGAGGTCCTGGTGGTGCTGGCCCTGCTGGTGGTCGTGATGATGGTTGTGCCTTGTGTTGTCCTGGTGGTGCCTTGTGTTAACCGGGTGGTGGCAGCAGTGGTTGTCATTGTTGATGGTGGGGTGGTGGAGGCAGTAGTGGCTGATGTTGGAGGCTGTGTTGCCACACTGGTGGTGTGTGCTGGATAGGCTGTGGTGGAGGAGCCTGTAGTGTTTCCTGCTGGTGGTGGTGTCGTCTGGGCCTGCTCACTATCGGATTGTCGCACAGTGCATACCCTGCAGCCCGGATTTTTTCAAATGTCTCTGTGTCCCCATTTTCACTACCAGGGCTGGGGGAATCCAAGTCAAACCACTGTGTCCAGGAACAGCGCTGCTGGCAGCTGTTTGTGGTGTTGGAGGTGGTGGCAGTGCTACTTGCTGAGGTGGGCAGTGTTGGTGTGGGTGTAGTTGTGGTGGTTGTGCCTTCTGTTGGGGGGGGGGAGGGCTTTATGGTGCTGGCCCTGCTGGGGGGCGGGAGGGTGGGTGTTCC